TTTTAAAACGCAACCAACCCCCCTTCGGGCGGGTTGGTTGCATTTTAAAATCTTGAGTAAGAAACTAAACCAACCCCCCCAAATTGAGGGTTAAAACACTTGGTCAACACAAATAAAATATACAAAGAAAGAAACAACTGTCAAAAATGTTTTGTAATAATTATTATTTGCCTAATAGAAGTTCTACACAGTAGTTTGCATATATAACCAACTACACTGTTTTATGCAGATATCAATTTGATTTCATTCGGACCTGAAGCTAAATGCTTTTTGCAGCAAAGTTTTAAAAGAACTACAAAACCTAGCAATAAAGCACTAAATGTGTTGCAGCACAAGTTGATCTCTCAACTTATATAAAGCACCTCTTAATTTAGCAGATATAAAGACATGTAATATATTAAGCTTCTTCTTTAACTGAGTCCGCAAATGAAATCTTTACATTACAGGTTTCAGAAGTGAACATAATGCTGTGTAAATTAAGATAGTCACATTTATTTACCGAACACCCAAACCTAGCTTCACCAACAGCCACAAGTGATTACTAAACTATGTAATTATATTCCATTTCTGCAATATCAGAAAAAGTGGTTTCCCATCTGTTTATAGAACAATATAGGTGCTGGCAGAATGAAAAGGAAATATTGGAGAAAAAGCAACTTTCAATAGTTTTTAACATTATTAATTCTGCAATAAAAATAATGAGCACTTTCCAATTTGCACTACTCAAATCCAGACCTTACAGGATGATGTTATAATTCTACAAAATGAACAGTATTAATTTGATAAGTGAATAACTACTGGCGTTTAAGCACCTCTACATCAACAAATCATTTTAAATACATTGCATGTGATATAAATTCAGAAACAATACAATAATAAAAATTTGCCACATGAGAAATTTCTTAACTGATAATGCAAGTGTAAATTACAAATTTGTAGCAACGATATTGGATATCACTACACCACAACATTATGTTCCACTTAAAAGTACCAAAATAAGGCCATTTTTCTAAAACATTTAATATGAAATAATATTTAGGTAACATCAAAGAGCAGAACCACTGAACAAGAATTAAATTCTTGTGCAACAACTCTGATAACTAAATCAGATGATAGATGACTAGACACACAGATACTTCCAAAGCTGAAGGAAGTGACCAAAATAGCCACTTCACATAACTTAAAAATCAGCATCCAGTAACAACCTGCAGCCCTTCATACTCAAGTAGTGCTTAAATGTACTTGTGAAATACTCAAGTCTAGTATGAACTGCTAATTATGGACATGAACAAGTAAATTCTATGGGAAACATTACTTACTGAACTTTATATTTTGTATCAGATTTATTACTGAAAACTTACACACAAATCACTTTAACAAAATGACAAAATGTTGACAGCTGAGGGAGGTCTACTCACATCTTACACACCTGATTCCATACACATGTTTGAAGTAACATGATAGTTTGGGGGCATTTGGAAAGATTTAAATTAATTTTATATATGCACTGAGTAGACAAACTGAAATAGTATAGCATTCAGCTTCAGAAGAATTTATCCACCTGTTCTTAGAAATGAATAATATTAAACACAATAGCCGAAACATCTAATCGAACAGTTCATGTTCTATACTGGAGTCATACCGTACTTTGCATACATTAAACACTGCTTAAAAGCTAAGTTACAGCACAAGATTCAACACTGTTTTACTGCCATAAACATATCTATAGATGTATTGCATTCCTTCATTTAAATATAACTCGTATGCAAATCAAGCTACAAACAAAAACTGTGCAAAAGTTTTTATATATGAAAACACATCTTGGTTTCTGAACTTCAAATTTAATAGATGATAAAATTGTGGAATCTGCAAGTAAATAATGAATTTAGTAACAGTTTTGGTCATTACACCACTATATCTTTTGGACCACTCTTATTATTTCACAAGATATTATCAGGCACTAAGGACCTTAGGGCTCATTCATTTTATTACATATAATTTTTCCTCTTTAGAAAGTCTTGTTGTTTTATATAATGCTTTAATTAGGTCAAAGCTTGAGTATGCTTTGGTTGTATGGAATAATCTTACACAGATATATATATTTAGTTTCATTTGTTTGTTTGTTTCTGTATTTGTAATATTTTACTTTTATTATTATTGAGAATTTAACTATATAAGTATTTTATCCTGTACTTTGGTTTAGTGCTTGGCTGCTATTGGCCTTTTTGGCTGTTGTCAAGCACTTAAATAAATTAATTGGAATTATCATGTACCTGTGTTTGCCACATCCTACTAATTTTCAAATCAATTTGTAACCATTTGTAAAACTTGGTATGAATGTAAGGTCATTGAAGGCTACTCCAGCTACTTCCTTCCCATTCCCTTGCCACAAATAATACCAACCTGGCCAACAGTATAAACTTCCGATATGGAAGCAACACTAGCAATGTCCTGAAATGAGTGGTATGCATAAAATATTTATTTTGTTTAATCAACATGTTTTTATACTATTCTTGTGTTTCCAACGGCTCCTTTCTTTGCCAATATTTCTGAAAAATTATTCTGTGTCCATATGAAAAAAGAAACCAAATCATCTTAGATGATTTTACATGCAAAATATTGCCAATTATAGGACAATAATTAATTTAAACAGAATATAATGAATTACATAACAATAAAGTTACAACTGATTACTAAACATGTTTTAGGATAGCAATGCATACGTCAGAAGCATGGAAACCAAGATATTTTCACACTGAAACTCAAAAGAAATGTTTATTCTTGTAAGGAATCTGCAATCATTTAGGAATATTTGTTCATACTACTTTCTGCACAATATGATACACAGACTGTGCCTACTATTGAACCATTATATGAAAGTAAAATTTAAAATGAAAGGCATACAGTGATAACTGGTATTTGTGAGCTGTTCAAAATTATTTTCAGGCCACTGGAGAGCAAATTTTAACAATACATTTATATTAAAGATGTATGTATATACATATGAGGTGATCAGAGCTATA